AGTCATCCCCAGACGTGACCTCTCTTGAGAACCGTTTTCTCTGAGGTTTGGGGCTAAAAGTAAGGTAGCCAGGAGGGGGTTTTCGTCTTCAAGTAGTTAATACAGCAGAAGCTGCAAGGAAAGCACTAGGGAAGCGGAGCTAAAGCTGCGTTTCTTGAGAAGCACTGGGCAGTTCGGCATGTTCCTGATCACCGTCACTGTCAGGCCCCGTCAGGTCCCTTACGTGCGTGATTAGCACGAGACGGGGTGAGAGGAACGGGGGTCCCGAGCGCGGGTCGCCCGTAAAGTCGGGCGGCTGCGCGCGGTGCGCCACGGGCGTGGAGCGTTGCCGCGCGCTGGTGGAAGTGTCAGTGCTCTATTCACCAGCTCAACCGGTGAGTGGCTTAGACGAGCCAGCGCTGCGAGCCAGTGGGAACTGGGTGACAGTGCAACGCAGAGGATTCAGAGGTCCTCTTGGGTTCTTGACCTTCGTTTCCCCAAGGGCTGGAAGCCTCCGGAGGAGGCTTTGCCGGCTTCGCTGCTCCACCTCGTTGCAGCCGTGTTTCCAGCAGGCGAGCTGCAGTGGCTGTTAGGAGGTAGTGCCCGTTAAGTGTGTTGGTTTTTCTGTGTCGTCTCGTTTTTGTCTGTTACGATGCAGTGTCTTGCAGGGATAGTTGTTTCTTCTTTTTGCGCTTTCTTGTGAAAAGTGCCGTGAAATAAAATGTGAGAATGTTCTGGTTCTCTGTGTTCCTGATACCACGAAGCCATGTGAGGAAACTGCACCCCTAGTTTGGAATCTTCTGAAGCACAGGGGTTATTGCAGGCTAACGTGTCTTGCGAAGGTTTCCAGGTTCTAGAAGAGGCAGCTGTCTGCTGGGACTGGTGTTGGCGGGACCCGGACCCTGTGCGCCCAGGTACGCGGGGCTGGCGCTGCTGCGGCCCAGGCACGCTCTGAAGACAGACGTGTGGAGGGCGGCTCTTCTGACGCTGTGCGATGTCCGTGTTCTCCTGCTGCCTTTGCTGTTAGTCTGGGGGAGAGGCAGAGCCGGGGGCTCAGAGAGAACCGTGTTCCTTTTATGTCAGAGACCGTGCCGTCCGTCCTCAGATGATGGAGGGCCTCCCTTCCGGGTTGCTGTTGCCAAGCCTCAGTCTGAGCAAAAGACCAGATCAGAAGCCCCGGTAAACGCAGGGTGTCTGCTGTCCCGCCGACCCAAGACGCTGAGCCGTGGCCGCGGGACGCCCCGTGGGGGCTGCAGCCGTGGGCCAGGTGCGTGTCGTCGGGGCCTGGAGCAGGGCGCTCTGGCGCCTTCAGTCTGACGCTGTGGGCGCTGTTTCCTGCCGCGGGGGTGCTTTTGTTCCAGAGGCATGTGTTGCTGCTTTGGGTTTATGGGCAGTTGCCTGGTGAGCGCTGGCCGCGTGGGGCCGGGTGTGAGCGCGGCCCCTCTGGAGCGCCAGCGCCTGTGGCCTGTCCTTCCGCTCGGCTCCCGCGGGGCGAGCTGCAGCCCCGCGTCATCTGGGGATGCAGAACAGGTTGCTTTCGCTGCCTGTTCTTGATTTCCTGGTAAAGGTTTTCATGTTTTTTCTTGGAGTGGTCATGTGAACGCTCTTTTTTCCCTTCCCAAAAAGTTACTCCAATTAAAGAACAGAATTCAGCACCGTGCTAGCACATTCCTGTCAGAAGCGGGCGGGCAGGCGGGAGCCCTGCTCAGGTACCTCTGTGCTCTGCTGTTGCCCCGCCCCCCTCTGAAATCGCCCTCTGCCCTTGGGAGGTGCGCACGCAGGTGTCACGCTTGTGAAGGAAACAGAGCGAGTTGGGCTGCCCGCCCACGGCTGTAAGCTGGGTTGGAATATCCTAATTGTTTTTCACTTATGAAAATCTCCCAACCTTCAGAGTCGAGGAGCTGCTACTCTGAGGAACCCCCGGACTCCCACCATGGTGCTCGTGCGGGTCCAGCTGGGGAAGGGGTTCTTGAGCTCTCGGCCGTGAGCGCCTTCACTGTGGAAGAGGGTGCAGGCCCTGGGCAGAGGCTGAGAGGATGGGGGGACAGAAGTGAGGGTGCCTCACGCCGGGAGAGCGCAGGAAGGAGTGTGGGTGCCGCTGGTGTGGGAAACAGAAGGCGGCCCCTCCTTCGCTGTCCCGCCGCTCTCCTCTCTCCTTGCAGGCTGGCAAGGGGACCTTGGTGACGTCCCTGAGCTGAGTGGGGCGGTGGGACCGTGCGGGAGTGCTTGGCTTCACTGAGGTGTCCGGCACATGGGGCCTGCCTGTCCGGGAGGTTGTGCCTTCCCCCTGAGAGGACTGTGGGGCTGGCCTGGACCCTTGGCATCCCTTGCTGTGCCGGCGCCTCTGTGTCCCCAGTGCTGCGGCAGCAGGGCCTCCTGAGCTGCCTGCCTCCGCAGGGTGCCGCTGGGGGCTGGGCGGGTCAGTTGTCAGGGCGGAGGTTTCCTCGTGGCGGGGGCTGTGGAGCCAAATAGGAATGTGGGGCTTGGGCTCATCTGCGGTTTAGTCTCCTAGCTGGAAGGCCGGGCGTCTGGGTCCTGTCCGCCGCGGCACCGAGGAAGGTGTGTCCGGCCCCTTCATACCCAGCCTTCACCAAGAGTTAGCAGAGAGCCGAGAGCGGGCCTGAGGGGCTTTGTCCACGCGCACCTCCGAGTGGCCGGCATTCCTGCTGCACGGCCCGCCCTGCCGGCTGTGCACACAGCAGCAGGCTCGGCGCAGCACCTGTGAGACCCCGACGCGCGCTTGGAGCCTGGGGAGGAAGACGTCAGGCAAGGATGCCGCCGTGCCCAGACCGCGCCCGGCTGCCCCGCGGGAGCCGAGCCACCGGAGAGGAGAGACGGACACGGCCTCCCCCGGCTGGAGCTTCCCGCTCTGCAGACTCGGCAGCAGGCTTGTGCCGCGAGGTTTTCTCTCCTCCAAACCGAGCTCTTCCGGCCGCGGAGACTTCATCAGCTGCTGCTGGAACGTGTGCAAGCCCGGCCATCACCGAGGGCCCCACACCCGGGCTGGGGCGTCGGCTGGCCGCACGGAAGACCGCTGACC